TATATATATATATGATATCAATACCGCCTAGCTAGACACTATCCCTTTGACAGTTATTCTGGTTGGGGTGGTAATATTGGGCCGGAATTTGTCAGCCTACCTTGAAGTAGTCTGGATTTGCTTGTTTCACGTAACTTCAAGCTCCACTTCGGCTATACTGCTACCTTCGGTTATTTTTCTTTCACTTTCGAGCTACTTGGTCTTTTCAGTAGTACAGGGAGAATGCATTTTTTTCTTGAGGGGACATGTGATCCGCAGTGTTGGAGTCACTGCACCGTGCTCCATATTGAATCCACTGCGTAATGAACACAAACTAGCCCAGTATCTTGTGTGTTTGCCAGTAGAATTAGTTGGTGATATTTAATTTAACTGAAAACACGATGTGTGCAGGTGCTTTTCTCGAGGTAGCAGCAGAGCCGTAGAAAATTCACGTACATCACTTCACAGTACCAATGCTGCACTCGATTGACAAGCTCCGATGGGTTTGCTTCGCTTAGTTCAGGCGGAAGCCTCCTGCTTTGCCCCATATACATTCAAATTACTAAGCCTGATATTAGATTTCAAAACGATTTATTGGTAAACCAGATTGCCCTTGATCTGTCCACCGAGCTTTGCGATTTACTTGGAAAGCTTTCTCCACCATCAGGGGACACAGTATCAGTCGTGTTTGAATGATTAGTTTCTATTGACTTGGTTGCACTCTTTCTAGGGAGCGCCTTCAACCCCTAACCGGAGTGGCCATTTATAAGTCAAGCAACTTGGAGTCTGATTGGCTCTGCCTGGTTGGTGTCTGCCATTTTTGCGTCCGTTTGGTCAATTATGTGACAACCTTATAGTTCATTCTTTCCTGTTTTTTATTTGTGCTATGTTGTAGCATTACAACACGTTACTAAAGCAAGAATATGTCCTTGACTTATAGCATACAAACCCCAGTTGAGCACGAAAATAGCACATGCATCGAATTGGCTATCGGATTTAGTCCGAATAACTATGAATCCCACGAAACATCTTCGTAGCATACCAGATGCTCAAACTCTTCAAACAGAGCTTTGTACTAAATTTAAGAACAACTGATATCATATCAAATTATTCTGTACTTCTTGGCTTTCCATCAAAACTGCTAGTGTGTTCCTGGTCTTTCTAGAATTCTTCCGTTGAATGGGTTTCATGCTTGCAAATTTATAACTCTTTCAAATTTAGACAAATCCCTTTTGCATATCAATTTGGTTCTCACGGAACCTGGAACCCAACTGAATCTGTCGTTTATGATTTTCTCATGGTGTTCTTTTAAATGTAAACAGAGGCGACTACTCGTCAATAGAAGGCGTAACACTCTATTTGTCGTTAATTTAGCTTCCAACTGAACATGAGGGTACATAAGGGTGTAATGCTGCCAAGCGATACGGAAACGACCTATTCTAGAGATGGCATCTCCCGGCGCGCTTCATTATACTTCTTGAGGCTTTCTTTAAGTTCATTCAAGCAATGCAGGATCACATGTTGCAGCTTATCACTCTATCCCTGGCATGGGACAGAACCATCTATAGGTTCAGCATTCCAGATGCCGAAACATAATCGGCAAACTTAGGGTGAGGCGATGAAGTTTTTTTTTATTCGCCAGTGCGACAAATTTCGGGACGGTAACTTGGCTGCACGCAAGTAGTATTTTTAAGAAAACCCATAACGAATAAGTGGGAACACCACATAGAAGTTAATTGTCTACTAATTCACAAAAGCCAAGGTAATCTTTTATAATGCACTACTCATAAAGTTGCTGAAAACTCCTCGACAAGGTAATCTTCCTGTGACCGCTTTTAAACACAGAGTAATGTTCTATTGTGGATAACCAATAGGGCTTCCGAGAAATCTTGTGTGAGCGTTTTATTACGTCGAGTTGTAGTGGGGAATCAAAACACCTGGTAATTATCACGTTCCACTTTCTCATGGTTTACGAGAATAACTAAGTAGCCTCATAATATTATGATTGACTTGTGCAGAGAAAGAAGTCACGACTCAAGAGAGAGAGAGAGAGAAACCAAACAGTCTCCTTCTTCGCGGTGGTCTAACCAGCACGCCAGTCCGTACTACAGCTGGTGGTTGGCGATTATTGTAGCTGATCTACAAACATTCGTTGGGACCCACCAAACAGTTTAGTCTTCCTACAGGACTTGAATGTTTGCCCCAGGAAGATAATTCCCCAGATTCTGAGCCTCGCATTTGATCCATCTTGTCAATATACACAAACCACTCAATACTCGAGTATATCTCAACACGACCGAAGAATATGAAAGTTTCGCATTACACTTCTTTTCATCATTCTGTTAACTGAACTTCGGCCAATGTGCGAGAGATGGCAAGATGATGGTCAACACAACCGCTGCCAGACTCCAGCTGGAGTGATTTAGAGTTTGGAATCCAATATTGAAACGATCCTATCTATTTCTTCACTACTCACCTTGCATGACTGAATTCAATACGAAAAATAGTTCAATCTCTTTGTGGTTTTCAGCAGTTCGTCTATATTCATCCAGGAATAGGTACTATCTATCTGTCCGAAGACTTCTGAGGACAATTCACCTTAGTATCTGGAGAGTAATAAGAGTAGTCTGGAGGAAACCAAAGACACCTACCCACAAGGATGTCCACTACGAATCTTAGGGGACACTAAAATTTGTCATATGTCTGTGCCAGTGTCAGTTTGTTCAAGTTCGGATAACTGGACGGTTGGAGGGATACAGTGTGGAAAGAAGCGCGGTCCACAATGCATAACAAGCTTTATTGCAATAAGTGTCCCCTTTATCAGGACTGACCAATCGAAGGCAGCCGGAGTTTCTAAGTTTGTGTTTCCGTACCCTCTACAACAGTGGAGCTTAAACGAATCCCATCAGCTCTAACCAGGATTTATCACCTCTGTCGGACAAACCACAGCATCCTG